ATTGTGATTTATGAGAAAAAATTATAAAAATTTTGAAATATTCTAAAAAATATAAAAATTCTTTTGCATGTACATCAACCGATACAAAAGGTTCCTTTTTTTCTGGTATGTCGTTTTTGGAAAAATAAAAAAAACTCCATTTGGCTGAGAAAAAATAAGTTTTGGTAAAAAAAGTGGAGGAAAATGATTAATGATGAAGTACGCTTTTGTATGTTGTTTTTGCATGTTTGTTTGTATGTTTGTTTGTATGTATTTGTCTGTTTGTTTGTATGAATGTTTGCTTGTGAGTTTATTTGTATGTGTTTGTATGTATGTTTGTATGGTTTGTTGGTATGTGTTTGTATGTATGTCTGTTTGCGTATGTGTGTATGTATATGTAAAGTGTCAGTATGTATGTATGTGTAAATAATTACAAATTAATTAGCTAAAATTTGCAATTTTTTAGTTTCATGCATTTACTCCAAGGCTGAAAAATATAAAACAATTTTTTTACAGGATGTTTTTTCGTAAACATGAGATGACGTCATGTTGATGAGGATGATGTTGTTGTTGTTGTTGATGATGATGTTGTTGTTGTTGATGATGACGTTGTTGTTGTTGTTGATGATGACGTTGTTGTTGTTGTTGATGATGACGTTGTTGTTGTTGTTGATGATGACGTTGTTGTTGATGATGACGTTGTTGTTGTTGTTGATGATGACGTTGTTGTTGTTGTTGATGATGACGTTGTTGTTGTTGTTTAATGTTATAGCGCTTCATTCATGTCAGTGCGTTGAGGATGTTGATTTATCAGACGCACAAAATTGATGGACCAAAAACAATGGCTGTGTTTTATGTTTGTATGTATGTTTGTATGTATGTTTGTATGTATGTTTGTGTGTGTTTGTGTATGTGTGTATCGATGTATATTCGTTTGTATGTATGTTTGTTTGCTTATGTACACAAGCACACAAACAAACATACAAACATCTTCAACTTGAATATTGTCATGCCAAGTACAGAACAGACTGATCGGAATAATGACAATCTTCGTCTTT